GGTCCAAAAAACTGAGTGGGGAAAACTTCTCCTCCATCTTGAAAACTTGAAATACTAACCAATATCTTGAAAGACTCCTAATAATTCAAAAAAATAAAAAAATCAAATATGCAGTCTGAAGTCCACTACGGGCATCAAGACACTACTAATAATCTAACCGCTAGCAACGCTTTATGGAGCTCTAAGATTCCGAGACGCTTTACTAGAAGAATACACCTCAATATTTACAGAAAAAAAAAATTGACCAATCTCAGGGGCCTATCACGTAAACGAAGTTACCATCTACGGCAAAACGGCATTCCACAACAACGAAACGTTAAAATAAAACGAATCGTGAAAGAAACACTTTCAAAACAACAGAATGTTCCTGCATAAAATCTTTATTTGGGTTTTTTAAAGTTAGTGGAGGTTAATGTATATATAACAGATCACATTTTCTTGGTTCGAGACTTCACAATGCTGGACATAAAGTACTCTCCTGCCTGAAAAAAATTACTCGTAAGCCACGGATGTATCAAGAAAGTAAGTGAACCTTCACAGTAAACCTCCTGAATTCTGCACCTTCTTGAAGACACTACTAAAAATCTAACCGCATCACCTCAAACATTCAAAACAAAACAAAAACCTTTAAGCTAACGAAACATTTTCGACTGTCAAAATTATCACGACCACAATGACATACGTAAGTGAAGAAAAAGCTCAAACTCGACCAACCTTTCAAAAGTTACTAGTTTTTTACGAAAAGTGTTACAAGTGTTGCGCCACAGTCACAGCAATGCAGTTAAATTACGTCTACTTTTCTTCATTAGCTCAAAAAATCAAGAAAAAGGAAGTTGAAACAAAGAAGAGTATAGAAGCTGGCCCTTACTTTGTAAGAGGAACGGACCAAAGGTCCACTAGCCGTATAAAGAAACCCGAGTTCATCGCCTACTTTACGCCACTTATCGAACTGCTCAGGGGTAATCCATTCTTTCACCAAAAGATTTCTTTTGGTTGGTTGGATATATTGTCCCAGAGTTACCGCATCCACATCTAAGAAGAATCTTCCTTTTAATTTGAGTATTCTACACCAAAAATCAAAAAAGTGCCCAGAGAATTACTCTGTCCCAAACCCTCAAAATAATAAGGAAGAAAGTAATGTGAAAAGCAAATATGGAGAAGCAGTAACAAAAATGTAACTTGTTTAAGATATACATATGTATATATATAAATATCTTAAACAAGTAACATCAAAATTATTACAAAAGTGATGCTACTTACATAAAAAAAAGCCAACCCATGTAATCAAAATTCCTCAATTCCAAAAAAAAAAAAAAAAAAAAAAAAAAAAAAAA